AGCTCTGCTTTTGACTGGTTGGTTAAAAAGCTATTCAGCCACTTTTGACCATGCAGACAGAGGAAAATAGGTAGCTCTTTTAAAATAAGCCCTGCTGATAACCGACATCTGTAACCATCCCAAAACAAAACCAGCAAAGCACAATTGGAACCATACCCTGAGAATGTATCCCTTTCCAAAGGACGTTCAGTGGTACCCATGGGATTCAGCACCCTGGAGAAAGCAAAGAGACCCTGCTCAACAACCCCCTGCCCTGCCCCAGACCCCCACCCACCCAAAAATCACATCTCACCACCATTAGGTAACTATGAGTCCTGATGAGTCCACAGCCATCCAACACACATCTCCTAAAAAACCATCGCATTTTTAATTTCAGCAAGGATGTCAAGTATTCAGCTTATCTTTGTGTGTGTATGTGAAAAATCTCAGCTAAGCAAATCACTTGCATGGCTGAACTATTATTCCACAGTCATTCAGGATACATTTCAGTTTTTCATGAAGAACATACACACTCTGTGCCTCAGCCTCTTAGATCGGTATCCTGTTGCTATTTTAGGTTGTCTCTCACTACAAGGAGGGGGGAAGATGAAAGCTGAAGAACTGGGTGAAAGAGCTGACAAAGAAGTGTGTTTTCCTCTGCTGGAACTGGGAAAGGTTTTGATTCCATGACTTTTGCACCATAGTTCAAGAGTTTCAAATAATTTCTATTGGACAAATGTCAGCATCTCGTTTGCCATTTGACGCACTATGGGAAGTCAAACAATAACTATAATGCATTTCATGAGAGTCATTTTAAGAATGATGCAGCCAAATTTCACTGTTCTCATGTTATTCCACCTGGACAATCTTGATGTGCAGTTTAAGTGCTCTTCACTAGGCCAGCAGAATTCTTTAATTATAAATTATAGTATAGTTTTATATAAAACCACAGCATTTCAATATCCAGATATTAATAAAGCAGATGAACTTAAATAAACTGCTACCATGTAGAGCAAAGTATCTGTTGTTATGCTTATGTTGCATTAAAGGAAGACAAAATTACTGCATGAAATAGGTTCCCTATGGTCACTGCTGAAGAGGTAACCAGATAGGAGGCACAGAGAACCTTCACATAATAAGAGACAATATAAATTCTTGCATAGTGAACCTCAGCTGTTACTTGATTCCTTTCTTCAATTATATTAAGTGTCCCAGCATTGTTTGATTGGGTTTGTTTAAATCATTAGTGATGCACTGGAGGAAAAGGATACTGTTATTGGTTCTAGGGTTGTAACTGAATACCATGAAAAGTGGGTGCTTATTTCAAGTATATCTGAAAACATTGACCAAAATAGAACTATTGCTTCAGGAGAGACTCTTTACATAGGAGCTGTGTGTTACAACTGAAGAGGCAGTTTGAAAAGATGACAATGATCCTTTCAGGGTAAGTGCAGTTGGGCATTTTTACATTTACATATATGAGTTTAAAAAAGTCAACTAAGACATTTTATTAATTTTATCTAAAGTTTCCACAAAGCTTCTTTTCTGTGAGCTGTGGGCTCGTTTATACAACCTTCAGTTGATTACCAAGCTGATATTAAAGAGCAGTAAACTGAACTTTAAACTCTTAATGTACCAGCTCTACTTTACCTTCTTTCTCAGCTAAGCGGGAGATTCAGGCAGTAACTCTTCTGAAATGATTCACCTCATGCTCAAAGTGGAGCATATTTTCTTATTTCTTACTTCCATCTCCTGTAATTTTTTGAGAGAGCTGTCTATTGCTTTCTCTGGCAGTTCTAAACCCCTCACTGATTCCAGAGCACGTAACATGCAGTGCATACGTGCAGCATGACCAGAAAGTCAGGCTTAGTGTGTTCTGCAAAGATTTAAAAAGCACAAGCACAAAGGCTGGCCAAGGGTCTTCCCACTGCATTCCAAGCAATCCCAATAAGCCAGGCTTAGCTCTCCTGCACACAGAAGGGTGGAGAGCTCCCTGGTGAGTACCACCCCACCACTCTGGGTGCTCAGAATTTCACTCAGGATGTTTCCAGCAGAGAAGCAGATGCTACATTCTTCCCAGAATTAACACATTCAGCTGGATATGATGAGCTCAGCAAAGACACTTGGCATCTGAGGCACTTCAGTTTTGTCCACCTTTTGGAAATCTGGGACTGTGTTTAGCTTGTCAGAATCCAGGCAATCTAAATAAACGTATCTGTGATAAGATCTGTTTAAAATTTGTGGTAGAAAAGAAGCTGACTTGGAAGTAAGGATTGTGGAAGTAGTGAGAGAGCTTGATAGCTATGTGTTCTAGCAACTAGAACATCCCATAAATATTTCTTTAAAAGCACTCTCCTGAGCAAGAGGGTGTTCATTTGATGTTCATCTGGAGTAAAATTTACCAAAAGCAGCAGTGTGCTGAACATGGATCACTCTACTGAAAGCTGACTTGTAAACAATAATTGTGACTTCCTGGCTTCTTTCTAAGAAAACCAGAAAAATTTTGAGAGGATTTAAAAATAAATCAATAACTTTTGATACTGGAACCCAAGACATGCAAGTGACCCACAATGAAGTCGTGAAACAGGAACTCAAAGCTAACATGTAGCATCTGCAGCTGATCTTGTTCTGGGACTGGCACTACATACTTTCAATAACAAAAGGTCTCTTCTTATGTTACCCTAATGTGGAAAATAAGATAAAATTCTGAGTGACTTCTAAGTAAGAATGTTCTAGTGAGAATATAGAGCAGGACTTCAGAAGATCAGTAAGACTGGCTTAAGGCATTGTTGAGTATTTGTAAAATGCACTAATTATATCAAGTACCACTATAAACCAAAGAGTTCTCCAACCCTGAGCACTCTCCATCTGGCATTCAGGTGCACAAACTGGCTTGCAAAGTGTCTGTCCTGAGGATGTATAGGAGCAGAGGGGTGTGGAAATAACACAGCATTTCTCTCAGCCTTGACAATGACTCCTCATGGTGAGGACAATGGGGTACATCTGATACATATACTGAAAATGAAGATGCAAACATTTACACTTTTTTTTATTGGAAAAGCAGTTATTATTTATAAGAGATACTTATGAATGCATTATATGATATTCAGTGCCACTTTATATCCCAAATGTACAGCATGAGGAATGTATATCCTCTAGAGGTGTGTCCATGCACCTTACTCCTGCTAACAATTCAATTTTTAGCTCAGAATGTAAAATCCACAATTTTCAGGTTTTTTGGGTGTTCAAGCCCAAATGCTCACTCAGATGCCTCACTGTCTTTGATCTCTGGACATGTTCATTTCAGAATTAACTTTGAGAATACAAAGATTTACATAATTTAAATAATTCATTTTAGCTTTGAACATTTATCAGACACTGCTACAAAAAATTCCATCATGTCTTTCCTTGTCCTTTTTCATCAGCTGTTAACAATGGATGGACATTCCATATCTCAAAATTTGTAAAATTACCAAAAATCTTGTGGAAATCTGTAATTGCAAAGTTTATACTTTAAATAACAGTAGTAATTACTGTCCATCATTCATAATATATTCTGACCAATAATTGTGCTAAAGTGGATTAAGTCATTGTGAGATGCTGTATTAGTAATGAAAGGATAAAATACATTACAACCCTGTTGTAATATGAAACAAACTGATTAAAACCAGAACTCCTGAGCACAGGCAGGGGCACAAGCATATTGCTACCAAAAACCCCAATTAACATCTGCACAAGTAAGTCCAGAGGCACAGGAACAACAGCTGAAATTTAAGAAAAGCAGCACTACCTAGTCCAGATTTAGACATGACAGCGTCACCATCTTGTTTCCATGGGGAAAATGTTCCCAGGGATGAATCCATTTGTGTTTTCTTGAAAAAATCTACAGAGCTTTGCTTACAGAGGTTGTTGAAAGAGCCTGTGCCTGTTTTGGGGAGACAAATGGCATGCAGTGACTGAGAAGTTGTATTTTTAGTTGTGAGGGGAGAAAACTTACTTGAATGAGACTGAGGGGAGCCCTCAGCAGGGTTTGCAGCTTCCTCTCAAGGGACAGCAGAGGGGCAGATATGATCTCTGCTCTCTGGGACCAGGAACAGGACACGAGGGAATGGCTGGAGCTGGGTCAGGGGAGGTTTAGGCTGGATATCAGGGAAAGGGTCCCCAGGGAATGGCCACAGCCCCAAGGCTGCCAGTGCTCCAGGGGCATTTGGAAAATGCTCTCAGGGATGCACAGGGCAGGATTGTTGGGGTGTGCAGGACCAGGGCTCCCTTCCAACCCAGGATATTCCATGACTCCATGCAATGGAATCATGGCTCTGTGGCTCCACAGCCACACACTGGAACAGGCCCCAGGATGGCAGAGCCTGAGGCTTCTCCACTGGGCCTGTGTGGAGGAGGAGTCCTGAGCTGTGAGTTGGAAGTTTGTCCAGGAACACCTTCTGCAATCAAACCCTGCTGAAGCTGCCGTGACTTTTCCAGGAGGAGGTTATTCCCAAAGAGAAATGGAGGCACAGGAAGACTGGAAGGAGACAGAATCCTAGAATTGTTTAGGTTGGAAAAGCCCCCTTAGAACATCCAGTCAAGCCATTAACCCAACACCACCCCGTCCACCAGACCAGTGGGGTCTGAAGAAGAGGGACAAGCCCAGTGCAGGAATATCCCCAGGGACATACTGGAAGGAAGCCTAGGTGTCTTTGGGTGGATTTAGGCATTTCTACACTACGGCCCATCCCTTTCAGGGATTGTAACAAGCGGTATTTCTTTCTTTCCCTTTTCTCCCTACAGACAGAGAGTGTAAGGACTCGTAGATTCCAGGAAAGGAGTTTCCCAAAGCAGAACATGAAAACTGAAATAAAATAGAAAAAATGCATCAAACCCAAGCCATTAAATAATACAGAATGTTTATTTTTTTCAACCTGAGGAGCTGGTCTAAAATATGTAGCTATTTATTGCTTCAAAAGAGTGAAAGATTGTCTTTCTTCTTGGGGAACATAGCATCCCCACAGCTCATCCATTCCTTCTCAAAGTAATGAAACCCTCTTGGCAAATATATTTGTGGGATTGGACTCACCAGGCCTGGAAAGCTCATGCTCCTTGACTTCTCTGCTAAAAGCATCACAGTGGAGTCTTTGATGAGGTTGGGCTGGGATAACGTGATTATTTTCAGCTGTCCTGGAATTAGTAGTAATGGTGTAGATGTTGCTTCTGGGGTATTTCCACATGCAACAAATTTCTTGCATTCCTCTTCTGAAGTTTGCATTATAGATGTAGAAGAGGGTTGGCTTAGAGGCTGAGGAACTGAAAGAGATCCAGGTGATGGCCAGGAAAAGCAAGGAGCTCTTTCTGTAGTCTGTTTCCTGTGGGTGCCACAACTGTACCATGAAGAAAGGCAGCCAGGACAGAAGAAAATTCAAGACAAAGATGAAGAACATCTTGACAGTTTTCACTTTTCTTCTTAAGACAAGATTCACTGTCCTCCTTCCAGCTGTGTACTCAGTGCCACTTCTCCAAATGTAGGTGAAGAGTTTCTGGTAGCAGAGGATAATGAGGAGTGATGGAATCAAAAGCAACAGCACTGAGAGTTGGATGACACCAGAGACAGCTCCTAGCCAAGAACTAGGGAGGAAAAAGTTGCAGTGGTGGTCACTGCTGGAGCCATAGAGAAAACAGGCCGGTGATGCAAACAGAGCACCACAGAGCCAAGAGACCAGAGTCATTCTCTTGGCTTTCTCCCTGGAAACTCTGAAATTCATGGGATGGATGAGAGTGTAGCATCGATCCACGCTGATGGCGAGGAGCACGTAGATCTGGACCCCGGGCGTGAGGTACTGGATGTACCTGACCAGCCGGCACACGCCGCTGCCCAGCATCCACCGCCCGGAGCTCAGCTGCAGCAGCAGGAAGGGCGCGCTCCCCACGCTGCTCACCAGGTCGGCACAGGCCATGGACACCACAAAGTAGTTGGTGGTGGACTGTGTCCTCCTGCTCCTGTGGATCACTAAGCAAACAAGGAAGTTTCCCAAGACAGAGATCAGCCACAGCACTCCCCAAACCACGCTGGCAGCTGTGATTTCCCCCGGCCTCAGCCCGTACTCTACCAGAGAGTGGTTCCTGCTGGGGCCGGTGCATGGGGCTGGAGGTTCTGCCATCTCGTAGCCAGCAGGAGGGGAGGAGGCTTTGGGGCTGCTCGTGTTCTGCAGCAGGAGCAAGGTAAGGAGAAGAACAGGACCACTGCTGTTATCCATGCTGCGAGCAAACTCGGCTACATCTTTTGCTCAGGCTGCAGACAGAGAGGAGAGAAAAGGTTTTGTTAAACAACTCTGTGTGAAAAGCCCAAAGTAATCAATAAAAGATAACTCTAAGTAGTCTCCATACTCCTTAGAGCAGTAGACTTCATAGTAAAGGGTCAGAAATATATGGTGACACTATGTGGCATGGCAAAGAACATTAAGTTTCATGCAGATTTTTAGGAATGGTCTGAGTATTTCAGACAGACATTTCTGTCTACAGAAAGATGAGTGTCCTGTTCACAGCTGGAGACCGATGTCACCAGTGCAGATAAGCTGCAAACTGAGGGAGCAGTATGTGCCCCACTGATCCCTGAAATTAGCTGTACTTCCTGCTGTCCATGGAAGTGTCAGAAAAGCAGACCAAGAGGGTCCCTGCATCCTTGACTTGACCTTGAGCTTTGAAGCAGAAGGAAAATATTGAGGGAGGAGGGCAGTGCCCTCAGACAGATGAGATGAGATGTTGGGGGAGGGATGGGGGAGCTTTTTGAGTTCCAGCAGTGGAGCCTCAGCTTGTCTTGTCAACACTGTCAATACATGTGGCTGCAGTCAGCTGCTGAGCATCTCTGTGCTCTGGAGAAAATCCAGGGAGATGGGGAATGTCCTTACCTTGGTCGGGGGCCTTCCACCCAGGCAGCAGCAAGGCTGACCCTTCACAACACGACCAGCCCAAAGGTTCTGCAGGTCTGTGGGTGACCCAAGGGACAACTGAAGGACTGCCAGACGCAACTGACACCAACAGACAACCAAGAACCTCTGCCCCCAATTTTGTAACAGAGCTCTACCAGCTGAGAATCACTGTGGCCCAAGTGCAGCACCCAGCACTGAACCACATCACGGGCCTTGCTGAACCACATCCCGTGCAGCCTGTCCAGGTCCCTCTGCAGAGCCTTCCTACCCTCCTGCAGATCAACAAGGCTGGCACAGATCGGTGTCACCTGCTGGCTGCCCAGTGGGCACTCGGCACCCTCAGCCACAGCCGTTATAACGGAATCAGCCACGACTGGCCTTGCCCAGCTCTGGAAGGACAGTCACCTTTGGGTGACACGTTTTCCATGATCATAACATAGTCCTTGATAAGCATATGAGCAGCCAAACCCTGTTCCCCTCCAGTGCTCAGTAACTGGGGTTTTATGAACTGGTTCACACTTTCAGAATTTCACAACTTTAACACTCATTGTCTTGCCTGCCATCCCACACTCAAGCCCTTCAGAAAATAGTTTTCAATTCCATACTGGTTTTATTGCCCCTCCTCCTCCTGATGATTTTTCCCAAGGCAGGAAGATGCCAAATTCCTCTTCCTAAGCGTCTCTGAAATCAAATGCAGTGGAAGATTGGAAAAGGCCTGGTAGCCAAATGGGAGAGGCCCTCTGTTAAAAATTCCTCTACAAATCAGCACCAACTTTTGCTGTAAGAGAGCACTGAAATTCCTGGGGTCTTGGAGGCACTAACACTGACATTGCAGGTCAGTGCTGGCCACGGTGTCACCAGCAGAGCAAAGAGCTCATCGGCTGAGACAGCCGTGGATCTCCTCCCATTATAACCAGCAGGTGGTGAATGTATGGGAATGTGTTGCTTTCCAAATTTTATAAAATATTACTAAATATAAATGCCTCCTCTGGAATGTGGCCATTGAGAAAAGATGCTGGACTCTGGTTGGTTGTGCTGCAACAGAGAGGAAAATTCAATTACTAGTTTATGACTGAAAAGTCCAGTTTGAAAGCAGGAAAGAGAAGCAAATGGAGCAGGAAGTCAATTTTCCAGTAAGGAAAAACATTCAGAGGCATTCAATTCTCCTTGTTCTGATTCCACATGATGTTTGTCAATGTTTTGGTTTTCTAGATACAAACAAATCACATAGTTCTTTCTGTTTACATGTTTTTTTTAAGATTTTTTTTTCTCCTCTTACATTTTCTGTCCTTCAGGATGATATACTGGTATATTTTACACAAAATAAATACATCATGGGTAAAATTGTGCACAACTTTTTCAACCAGACTTGGAAATCTGGGCAGTTTACTAGGACCACCTGTGCTACCAACAGTTTTGTTGCCCTATCAAGATTCATTTTGTGCCTAAAACATTAGGAGAGCTGAAAGGAGCTTCCCCTTGAAAAGGAGGTTCCATGCTGTGTTCCAGAGGAAAATCTCAATGTGTCTGTTGGTATTTCACTTCATTCTTAGTGAGTTCTAAGGCCCCAGCTCTGAGCAGTATCCATGTCTTTAATACAGGACTTTCCAGACAGCTGTTTAGATTACTTTTAATTTGAAGCTCTTTCACTATGAAATGCAAGTCAAAACCTTGAATCCCTTTTTCAGTGCCTTTGCTAGAAAAGTCACAGTGCATTGTCATTCAGATAAGGTGTTTAGCATGTCTCAGATGTAGCCCAGCACAATTCAATTTGTTCTGCACCAAAAAAAGGAGGCTTGAAGACCTTGTGGGAAGAGGTGAATGTGAGACAGGAAGCTCTGGTTGAACAGCCTGAAGGAAAGATTAATGCCATCAAACTTATAGCAGAAGGTTTTGATTACTAGTTTTAAGAAATACACAGGACTGTACTTTATCCTAGCAAATTTTATTGGCTATTGTGTTTCAATTTACAGCTACACTGACTTAAACTTTTCTTCATTAGTTGCTGTACAGATCTGTTCTGAACTGTATTGTATGGCTGTTTTCACCAGTCCTCCTTCCCTTCGGTTATGGGGAGAAAAAGTAAATCCCCCAAAAATAAATTGTAGGAGACTGAGGGGAGAAGTTGTGTTTTAACTTGTGAGGGGAAAAAACTTGACTTGGAGGAGACTGAAGGGGCCCCTCATGGCCCCTCTGCTGCTTCCTCATGAGGGGAAGCAGAGGGGCAGCTCCGATCTCTGCTGTCACCAGGAACAGGACTTTGGGAATGGCCTGAAGTTGTGTCAGAGGTTTAGGCTGGATATCAGAAAAGGTCCTTCCCCCAGAGGGTGTCGGGCACTGCCCAGGCTCCCCAGGGAATGGTCACGGTCCCAAGGCTGCCAGAGCTCCGGGAGCGTTTGGACAACGCTCTCAGGGATGCACAGGGTGGGACTGTCGGGGTGTCCGTGCAGGGTCAGGATACGTTTCCAACCCGGGATATTCCCAGCTCAGGGCTCCACAGCAGCGCCAGGGACCCTGCAGCTCCTCCCGCGGCAGAACGAGCCCTAAGGAGTTCCGTGAGGGCGGCGCTGCCGCGTTCGCCCGTGCGGGGCCGGGCCCGAGCCGGCCGCCGTCGCGCCGGGCGGGGCCGCGGGAGGAGCGCGGCGGGGCCGGGATGGCGGCGCGGGCCGGGCGGTGCTGCCGGGCCGGGCTGAGCTGCGGGGCTCTGCTGTCCCAGGCTCTGCTGTCCCGGGCCGCCGGCGGGGCCCCAGCCACGCCTCGCTGGGGACGCGCCGCTTTTTCGTCGGCGCCCGCGGTGAGCGGCAGGGAAGGGCCGCAGCCTCGGGAAGGTGAGCGCGGGGTGCCCGGGGCGGTCGGGCTGCACGGTCGGCATGGCCGCAGCGGAGCGAGGCCTGTGTTTGGTTGTTCCCAGCGGGAATTTCATCGCTGTGTGTACTCCTGGGAAGCCTTTGGTGTCGTGCCTGGCCAATGCCAATGGGAGCGGTGGGTCTGGGCTTTCCCGGCCTTTTCCCCGTGGGCATCTGGAGCACGCCAGGTCGCTGAAAGCGCCTCTGGGTGATGTCCGGTGACGCTGTAGTAGCTAAAGGTGTCATGTCCTGGCCTGAAATTACAGATGTTTGTAACAGAAATAGTAAAGTTGTTGTGACGTGTGAAAGTACCATGAAAAAGGTAGGTCGAGGGATAAAGGAATGTTGAATATTATCTGTTGGAGCGCCCTGAACGGATGTACCGTTGGGTTTAAGATTTTAATAGCAAGAAAAGGATGAAGAGACATGAAGTTCTCAGATAAGGGAAACAAATAACTTGTGAAATCTGCAAGTTTTTATGGGGTAGGGTTGTAAGACACATGAATGGTATAAAGAAGAACCCAAACATCGCTTCTTAAATCTCAGTCATTGCTTTATGCTAAATATGTACAATCGATAAAACCTCTGAATTCAAACCAGAGTCTTGAAAATAAATGTCATCAGGCTCACCTTTGTATGTCTGAGGCCACATTATATTCTGGTGTGTTTTTTGGACAGTGGGGTTTCAAAGTGTTTTAGTTTGAGGAGGAGAGAATGAAGACAGACAGGCATGCAAAGATCAGTGTTTGGTTTGAAAATCCAGTGGTATTTAGTGACTTAATGCATCCCTAGGGATCCCTCGCCACAGTTCCGGGTGAAATCAGTGAGCTATAAAGTAGAGGCAGGAGAAGCCTAGACCTGAAATGGAGTAAACTCTTTCACTTCCAATTCCACTTTCTCTGGAACTGCCCAGTGCGCAGGATCCCCCCCCCCCCCCCCCCCCCCCCCCCACCCCCCCACCCACTCACCCCACAGAA